AATGAACGAATAACGTTTATTATTTTTATAATTTACACCGTTCCTGTATTTTCACATTTCCTTTACATACAATTTCAAAATAAAATTACATCAGTAACTATTTATCCAGACGTAGGTTAACATTGTTTTTATTTTGATGTGTCAAACAGTATCGACCACAATTCTATAAACGCCTGATCGAGTATTGAAAAGATAAGACGTACACTTATTAACACTCGTTTTGAATTTTGTCCCCCCCCTAGGGGAAACTAATACATGCACATAGCTTGTACATACATTCTTTTCAGTGTATTTCGATTCCTATGAGTTTTTAGTGCCCAAGAATTTGACGTATATTCATAGTTACGTGTATTATTCCAGACGTACGTTCTTTCTGTAATATCGTAAGTAGATACTCTTTCATTTATTTAGATAGGTTATCAGAGGAAGCAAGTATCAATTGCGAAGGAATACTGTAATAGATGACATGAAATGTTTTAAGACATTACAGATTAATCTCCTTTTATTACTGTTTAAGATCTAACAATGTCTGGTCAATATGATAAACTATCCTGGAAAGGTAAACCAATTTAGAATATATTAGATTAATTCGTTCTTTAATCTTACATTAATCTTCTAATAATCTTTGATTTCCTTGGTCCTTACGTAGAAGTAAGAGACTTGTTTAGAACGTGGAGAGAGGACAGTGAACGAAAGAGTAAGGATGTAGTTGATTTATGGGAATCTAAGTTAATGTCAAAAATCGATCAACTGGGTAACGAAAGTACGTCAGTTTCTTATTACCATAAAATATCTTCAATCCAGTTTGATCCAATTTGTATATTACTTGTACCCAGGATACCTGGTCCTGGAACAAGTCTGTATAGCTGCTCTGGATTGTTACCGTTTGCCTTTAGCAGAATATTGTATCAAGATATTAAAGAAAGAGTTTCCTAGTAGCCTGAGAGTGCATAAATACCATGCCATGCATCTGGAGGCCTTGGAAATGTAAGAGATATTAGACGTGAAATTAAAAATCGTTCTGGATGTTCTATCTGTTTGTAACATAAAATAAATGTTTCATAGGTATGACGAAGCTTTAGAAGTGTTGGATTCTATAATAAAACGAGACGAAACTAATGCAGCGCCAAGGAAAAGACGCATAGCCATATTAAAAGCAAAAGGTCGAATACCAGAAGCTATTAAAGAGCTTACTGAATATTTGAGAAAGTTAGTACCGGAATAAAACTTGATAGTTCAGGCGCCGATTTTAGTTAATACATGTTATGTATGATCCACAGATTCATGAGTGATCAAGAAGCATGGCACGAACTGTGTGATCTGTATTTACAAGAACAAGAATATTCTAAAGCTGCCTTTTGCATGGAAGAGCTCATATTGCACAACCCGCACAGTCATTTGATTTATCAGAGATACGCGGAAATAAAATATTCTCAAGTAATTTAATTAGCAAACGTTCCTAATAAACGAGTTCTCGCATTACTGAGATAATTAAGAATTAATTGTTTCTCCAGGGTGGATTTGAAAACATGGAATTAGCTAAAACATACTTTTGCCAAGCCGCGAGATTGAACCCGAACAACATCAGAGCTTTGTACGGATTATTATTGGTAAGACTTAGAATAGAAGTGTTGAATTGAACGAATAGCGGTGTTGAATTTTAATATGGGGTTGCAGGCGGCAAATAATATTGCTACATCACCTAAATGCCCTTCTTCAAAAAAGAAAGACGCGTCGAAGCTGAGCGAATGGGCAGCTAGTCAGATCGAGAAACAGTACGCGTCGAAAGTATCTGATGAAAGACTTAAGGCAGTGGAAGGGCTACTAGGAGAATTGCAACTCGACGTTTAAGTATACAAATTTATATGTATGTACATGTTTAACTACTACTGTAATATATGTAAATGTACTATTCATTCCTTCTATTTATACACACGCGCGCGTAGATATTAAATAAAATCGAGGCTCCGAAAGAGAAATGCTATACGAGACGTAGTTAATTGAATCGTTATTAGATCGATCAAGAGATGTATGCAAGACACATTTTTAAGGAGAACGCATAGGAGATCAACAGTCACAACAATTCGTCTAACAATTAATCGAAATATAAAAAGAACGATCCTTGCATCATCGGATTTAATACTTTCTTTGTTATCCAATTTATTATACATTCCTACACATATCATATAATTTTTTGCACATACGACCACGAAAGTAAATATGGTTTAATAGAAATTATATCCTCAAACACGAATTCAAAGGGAAATAAATGTTTGTTACACATAAAATAATTACTTTTCTTTTTACCTTCGTTCTTTTGTTCCCGAAGCTCTCTGCTACAGCTTTCTTCGTTCCCTCTTCCTTTCGAAAAATTCAAGCTTGATTACCCCTAAATGATTGGAACTCAAAGGAAATTATATGGAATCTGAGGTAGACCGATGTTTCTCTTCTCTGTATATTAGATGAAGCTCCGAGCCCACGGACAGGCAGCTCGACAGTCTTTTGGTCAATCGGGAATAATGAGAAATTCCTCAAATCTTGTAAATGAAACCTGAGTTTTACTGTCCGTCAACAGAAGGCACCGTGGTTAAAATTCTTCAAGTCTTACAACACCGATCATCATACGGATTTCATGTATATATTTTATACAAGTGTTGTAAATATATTTAACATATATTTAATTCGTGACTATACATATAAAATATTTAGTTCGTCTTTAAATTACATTTCAATTCGTTTAACAAGATAGAACCTATTACCATTTTCTCGCAATTTACACAAATCTCCAAGCAATCGTCCATCAGTTTTATTGTCACTAGTACCAAGGACTTTGATGCTAAAGTATGGGCGGCAAATCTGTAACGAGAGGAATTAGATTATTGAAACGCGAGAGGAAACGTAATTTTTATAAGAATAAATTCTCTCACCTGATTTCTTCATCGGTATTAGTTATCATCGCAACGTTCGCTGCTTCGTAAACTTTTTGAGCAACAACTTTCTTACTGCCCGAATATTGCACTTTCGCGGCGTGCTCGTTCATACCCTTCAGTTTATTTTTCTCCGTTAGAAACATGTTCTCCGGCAAGATCACGGCTCTTATTATTTCGCCGATCGGTGCCTTAATCGTAACCGGGCACGAATAGTTTTCTTCTCCTAGTACAAAATCGATATTAAAAGTCGCTGGTTGCGTAGAATCGTTAAAATTGATACCCAGCGTAGAGGACAAGTTTGAATTTACATCTAATTGACTTATTCTCATGAAATCGTGTATAAGCATTCCTTTCGGTAGATTCTATAAACGAAGCAAATAATATGGTTATATTTCACATTCCACGTTAGAAGAAATCAAATCAAGTGGTTGAAATCTTACCTTTGCTCCCATTTTGATTTCTTTGATAGCTTCATTGCTTTCGTTCGTGAATGTTAATTCGATAGTGACCAAATACGCGCTCACTAAATGCTGCGATCTAGTAAATCTGTATTCTACTTTTAAACCGTGACCTGTAATACTATTTAATAGTTCAGACTTCTTGATAGGAATGAACGAAGCTGATACTTCTCTGACATCGTTCGCAATATTGGAACTCATAGGAGTAAGAAAGCCACCTGTGCTCAACGGCATAACAGGTGTCATTGGAATCACTGAAAACGTTCAATTATTAATATTCAATTCTCTAAACGATTCTCCTCGTACAACGTATCTTACCATCGTCGAGATCTAGGAGGAGATCAACGTTGCTTTTTGGTTTCTCTTTGACTTCTCGATTGGAAGCCTTGTACTTCTCCTCTTCACTTTCCCGTAATTCCTCGGAGGATTCATCGGAATCTGATTCCTCGCTCTCGGATTCGCTGTTAGACTCCTCGGAAGCTTTGACAGATTTCTTCTTCTCGCTGTCGTTCTCAGATTTACCTGAGTCCGACGTATATTCGGACGAGTCGCTCTCTTCTTCCGAGGAGTCGCTCGTCGATGTGTCCGAAGCGTCGTTGTCGTTATCCAGCTCTACAGATTAACATCTCTTACTGAAAACTCATTACTCGTACATTTAATGATCGCGCAACTTACCGTCCGCTTGAACACTTTCTTCGTCACTGTAGAACGGTCTTTCCTTTTCTTTCCCTTTCTTGTCTCTCTTCTGCTTTTTGTAATACTCCAATTCTCTGTCGTCCCTTAAACTAGCCACGACGTCCCTTACAGCCGAGTCAGGGGCCGCGTCGGGGAATGATGGCAAAGGACGGTAACCGGCACATGGCATGTCCAAATAATGCGACAACGTACCTAACTGATACTCAGAATCCTTGAATCTGGATGTTAGCATCGGTGCCGGTTTCGGTGCTAGAAATATTCTTTTCGCGAGCTGCGGAAGTTTCTTTTTCTGTCCGTCTTCCTCTAGGATAAACCGCCTCAAGAAACGTGCGCGGTCTCTGATATCGTAATTCTGGTCGTACTTCGCTAGTTGGAAGACGTATTGGCAAAACGGTTTAGTTTGGACAGGATTGTTTAAGCACAGCTTCACGGCTAGATTCAAAATTTGCAGCTTCACGATATCTTGCTCGTTCACGAAGTTCTTTGCCATTTTCCTGAGCACGTCCGGCGCTATCTTAGGCACTCTGTCTGAATACTCCCCTAACAGCCATAAGATCGACGCTCTCGCTTGCGGTACAGTTATGAAATCCATCAACTTTGCCATGTGAGCGATTATGTTCTTGTGCTCGTTCGGTTGAGTTTGTAATAATTTCTTTATGACAACTACGCTCTCAGCGACGACGGCCTCTGCACAATGAAATCGCACAACATTAATATACGATTTAATGCCTTTAAATTTCAATCGAATCTTACCATCTCGATTGCTCAACAGCGAAACTAATCCGTTCAAACATGTGTCAGTCACTTCCTTAATATTACTCGCGCATCTCCCGATCGCTTGTATGCTCGCCCCGACGAATTCTTTATCACTGCTCGAGATGTACGTTTGGAACTCTCTTAGTATAACTCCGATACTAGTCTCAGTCGCTAAATTGGTCAAAATGTCTAGTTTTAGAAGCTTTATATGTGTAGGATCAGAAGTTCTCACAAAGAACGACTTGAGAAAAGGTTCAAACATTCCCTATAAATGTAAAAACAATGAAAATTATAAAACTGCTTATCACAGGGAAGATACCGGTGTTATTCGTCGTTTTAAAACGCTCCTCGACACATTCTCGTATTTAAATCCATCAAATTACATTAGTACTTACATTACCTTTCTGGCAATTGATATGCTGGCGATGCAATGGAGAACCACGCTCTGAACTTCTCTGTGCCCTCTCAAAAGCCTGATCAACGCCTTGGCAGCGATCATCACTTCGCTTCTCGGTGCCGTGTGATGATACAATTGAGCCACTGCCATCACAACGGACGCGTTCCTACTTTGCAAAAGTGGCTTCGTGTTCCGTAATAATAACCGGTGATCCGGGTCCAGCGTCAACTTCGGTTTCTTCGTGTTCGACGAATCGGAATCGGAATCATAAAACGGCCGGTTTTCATCCTCCTCTATACTCTAAGAAAATTAATTCCTATAGATGTACATATGCATTCCAATCATATATAATTACTATGAATATTTATGAGAAGTTCCACGTACATCTACGTTAGGATTAATGAATTGTGTCCTCGCATATCTTGTGAGCATGTTGACGATAACGACTTGGCCCCATTCGTCAACGTCTACTAACAAGTTGCAGAGCTTCCTGTAATTTTTGTGGATCAAGTCTATCCTCTCGGGACAGACCTCTTCAAATGCCATCACCGCGGAGCCGACGACAAGGGTCGTTTTGTCCGACAGTAATTTTTCTAGAACGCCTATCAGCTCATCCTTCTGTTCAGAATCTAACGAGTAAAGCTTAGGAATCGCATGGGCCGCGGTCTTCCGCACGTACGGCGACATGTCGCTGGCTGAATCTTTGATCGCGAGCATTACTATAGGCACTATCATAGAAACTCGTATACTCGAGAGCACTCTCAGAGCGCTGGCTCTTATCAATTGATTAGGATCTTTCAATGCACGCTGGAATGTAGAAATCGACAGGAGAGCCAGATCCTGTTGGTCCTCCGCGTAACGGACCAGATACACGTAAACTAGTTTCTTCACTTCGATATTCTTTGACACAACATTCTTCACTACTGCTGGAAATAATTCTGACGCGTCCTTTCCTTTCGCTATCATCTGAAAATGTTCATTCCTACTCTTTACACATCATCGATGATTAAAAAAAAGATAATGATGAACAGGTAAAATTTAGTACCCCAATTATACGTTTCATAGCTTCTAATTTCAGCCCATCTTTGCTGCTGTCTAACATCTGTTTCAAGTCTTCATGTCTGAAAGAGGACAGTCGTTTAAATCGTCAAGCTAAGAAAGCATGTCAGTTTAGAAAAATAGATTTCTCTTTCTGTGATCTTTAGCATATGGCCTAGATCTAAGGGAGATATAATTTAAGGACGTTTATAATTAGAGTATTTACTTTTTATAATCGGAATGGAAGAATCCACCGGAGGCGGGATCAGTCGCGAGTTCTGGATCTGCTGTGCTCGACGGCCTGTCATTACTGTAAGACCCACCGTTATTCGACAGTGAATTCGCAGCTGCGGTTAACATCTTTTCTACTTTACTTCGAAACGAAAACAAGCGTTCCTCCTCACTTCGATCCCACTATCACACTCAGTCTCGCCACGTACGATTCTATCCGAATTCGTCAGAATATACCCGTGGCTCGTATCAACGTCTAACCATGTTGCTCGGGTCTGTTTAGAACTTTAGAGCCAAGCTGGATCTTGGATCTCCACCTCCACGATATCTAAATTGCACAGTAGAGAGCAAACGAGATAACTTACTTGTATATTTTGTCTGTGATACGTGGTTCTATTCTATACTACGAACATGAACATTCTCTTTTGTTTCTCCGGTGCAATACTTGGCAATTGCAGGATAAAATTACAATTTAATTTTCCAAGTAAACGAAATACTTTATTTTCCACTTGAGACAAGAATTTACCACGGAAGTTTGTGGAATTTACATCGCAGTTTCATTTTGTCAAAGTGAATCCAATTCTTGATACGATCCTGGGTTTGCATCGGCGCATCGTGCCGCTTAGAACCGCTCTTTCTCGGTTCGGGTTCGGGGATTGGTGGGTTCTACTTACTTATACATAGAAAAGATTCGTCGTTCGACGTAAACACGATCGTTCACCTTGTCATCATGTGTGTTGCGTGTAACCGTCATTTCAAACCGAGGGAACAACCGTTAGAACGCTGATATTTGCCCCCGACATTTTGGCTCGATCAGACAGGAGGGCGAGGATTACAGTCGAAGAAAATTGTCCCATCCGGACGCACGTACATTATTATACGCCGCGTACTTTGTTTCATAGATGTTAAAGCCGTTAATTTATTAAAGTATTTCGTTTCGAATTGTTAGTTCTTGTTGTGCATCATCGTCCGTTCAGATATATTGAAATTGTTTAAACATGTCGTTCTCAAAAGCGAAAATCCAACGGTTCAACGAGTTGGCGAGTAAGTACACATTTTTATATTTGACATGAACACCCACGTGGCTATTTGTTAATATAAAATTAATTCAGAATATACATCGATAATCCGAGGGAGGTAGTTCGTGTCCTGCACGTTCCTTTGCAGTAAACAAATTGCTTTGCATGTATTTCTTCAAGAATGCACTTTGACCTGATATGCATCATGCGTGTACTAATAAATGTGTTGAAAATATTTCAAATTTATTTTACTGTGATGTATCCTAACATTTCATTAACAAACTGATTGATAATGATGAAATTTGAAGCATGATCTCATGAGTATTCAGTTTGTATGAAGGAATTGACGACAACTGATTTTTATGAAGTATAGTCTTCTATTTTTTATTGTTAATCACGTTAATAGTTTGTGTGTATTAATTTTTACTTACAAATGCATTCATTTTTATTCTAATCTCTGTAAGTTCTAAACATCCCGATAATTCAGTTGGATGATTCATCGGAGTTGTTTACGTTTGACTTGAACAGTAATCTGCTGATAATCAGTTTTGGTCCTAACTAACATCTGACTAATAGTAAAGAACCCTCCGGGTGCAACCAGTTGCCGCGTTTAATTTCAAACTTCGAGTTCAGCGGGTAACGCGACAATAATAAATTACATTAAATAAGAAATCGGAAATGGTCTTCTTATAAAACGAATGCTCTGTGAAATCGAAGGAAATGGTAAAGGCCATTTAATTTTTAAATGTTGCGTGCAGAAATAAGAGGGTGAGAAATGAAAAGGGAGGCGACGTATTGTACAGTCCCTCGAGACGTTATATGGGGTAACACACCTGGTAAGTCTATGACCCCACGTAGGAACGTTGTCTCTTTCATTGAAAAAAACAGCTGTCTTCTTCCGCCTATTTTTTCGCGCCTATTTCTCCATTCAGCCTCCGCCGAACGGAGGGAGGATCCGTTCTACCGCCCGTACATTTTATCGATGTATTTCATATAATATTTAATAATGAAATACATTTTGCTTTCCATATTTTATATAAAATATAAATAAATGGAATGAGGAATTCGATTTTTATTAATATAAATTATAATTTCTACTCTGCAACTAATAATCTTGCAGGTGATGTACCTCCACCTGGAGCGTATGATCCAAAACTCGATAATAAAGTCAAGGGTATAGTAATCGAGAAATCTGAAAGATTTCACGACAATCGGAGCGTGGGTAGCGCTGACTGTAACTTATCAACATTGTGTAGCAGAAGCCACTCTTCTCATAATGCAGTTCCCACTTTTCGAACGGTGAGACATCGAAACTAATTAGGATAGAACAAAAATGATTCCTTTTACAGAGGAATTTAATTCCCGTGTGTGGTTTTAGCCGCAACTTCCGCGAAAGGCGAATCGGGAACAATCGAGATCGACCACGAAAGTTAAACGCTCACTTATTTCTCCAAACAAGCAAAAATTGAAGTACAAATCTGAACACGAATACGCGGATCTACAAATAGAATGCTTCAATAAAGACAATACGATACAGGAATTAGAGAAGCACATCGAGGACATGAAAGACGAGGTGCAGAGACTAGAAGAGCAGCATCAGAAGGATATGGAAACGATGGTAGCGATATATGAGATGAGAACTAGAGATAAATAATCAGTTATATTGTTATTATACATTTCTATTCGTGTAGGCGAAATTGCAACAGGAAGTATTGAACGAACACGACGAGAAACATCAAGTCGAAGTTGAACGTCTCCGCGGTCAATTGTTGGAAGCTTCGGAGGAGAGAGAGAGGGAAATAGAAGCGAGGAAGACCATGGAAGGGGATCTTCGAAATCGCCTCACAGACTGCCTAAAACGCGTAACCACCTTAGAAGATGAACTTGCTAACAAAAAATCCACATACGTGGAAAAAGTAAATATACTTTGATTTCAATATTAATTTCTTTTTTTACTAATAATATTACAGTATTAATATGCATTTGTTCTATAGATCGCATCCCTCGAAGCTCGAATCGAAGAGTTAACAATAGATTTAGAAATAAAAACCGGGGGTCTCAAGAACGAGATCGGGCTGCTTGAAGAGGAAAAGCTCAAGCTCAATTCCTGCGTCAATGAATTGAGTGACGAAAGAGACAAATTGTTAGAAAAATTGGAAACGCGACAGACTATTATCTTGGAGTTACAAGCGCAGTTATCTACTCTCCAATGTGAATTAGACGAATTGAGAGCAAAGTATGAGAACCTGACTGAAGTCCTCACGTGTAGTCATCAAGCGGAAATTAACAGGCTGAAGGATCATTACGAAGAAAAGGTAATTACAGAAGGAGAACGCGCTTGAGGTGTCGCGTAGAATAGAAAATCGTTTAATATTTACATCTTTCTAAAGTCTTCAGGAAACTATTTAATTTAGAGAACTGATTCTTTTTCTACTTACACGTATCTTAATTTTTAATCGAATTTAAATGCATTTTGTGAATATTTGTGTGCAGCTGACTCTGTTAAAAGATAAGGAAATAACTGAGCTGAAGGAAGCTATGGCTAAGAAACTCGAAGAGGAAACAATACGGATCAAAAAGCATGCCGATAAGATGGTGGAGAACGCGGAGGCTGTCACTAGAGAAACATTGGCAGCCTGTCGTAACGAATGCGAGGAGAGAGTCAAAAGAGTGATCGCCGAGAGCGACGCGAAAGTAAGCGGGTCACACGTGCGTAAAATAAAAAAACATCACTGACTGAGTGCTTTTCCTCAAATGTCAATAAAAATTCTTTTCGCTGCACCGGGGAAATGCTTAAAGAATTTTCAGACATTCTTCTCTTTTCGAGATCTCTTCGAATTTTTCATTTTCCACTGTTTGTGATGTTTGCTGAACAGTGCTCTTTTGTAAGAGCAATCCTGAGAAATTGTTATAAACAGTCGTTTTTGGTTTAGGTAAACGCTATGATCAAAGATGCAAAGGCTACTGTGGAAGATGAAATGCGACTTACCGCTGAAAGATATAAAGCATGTTTAGCCCGAGTCGAGTTGGAACGAGCCGCCTTGGATGAGAAATTAGCGCAGAAGGACGCCGAGATCACTAGACTTTCCATGACTCTTGAAGAATTAAGATCTTCCGCCGAAACACAGGAGAGTTTCGGTCAGAGCTTGCAAATGGAATTGGATAGAGCCGAGACTGAATTAGCCGAGAAGAAGGAAGAGCTGAGAGCGTTAAAAGATCAGATCCGCGCAGAGGCTGCTGAAATGGTAGCCAGAAAAAAGAGATTCGAAGTGATAATGGCCGAGAATCAAGCGTCGGTTGCGGCTTTGAGCACGCGCCTGGCTCAAAGTACCGCCGAGGTGGAAAGACTTCAATACGAATTGCAGCGTGGCGAAAGTAGCATTAACGAACATCGAGATTTGCTTAATATCATGCGGAGCAATTCGCAAATGGTGCATGAGCAAGTGCATGCCATAATGGAACAGTTGGACGTTAAAAAGGGATTAGTCGATCAGCTCGAGGCTGAGAGTTTAAATGAAGTTCAATCGATGAAGTCTCTGTTCGAAGCTAAGATCGACGATTTGAGACGAGTAGCTGACAAAGAAATCGCGAAATTAAAAGCTGATTGCGATGCGAAAACAGCTCAGAACGCCGAGGTATTTATTTTAATATTCTTTACTGACGTTTTAAATCCATTTACGTTACTTATAATTGGAACTAAATTATTTAGATAACAAATCAACTCCATGAAATGGCCAAACACGTTAACAACACGCATAGTATGATGCTTATATTAGAAGAACGAAATGATGCTCAAGTAAATCAAATTTCCCAACTGGAACTAGTGAACAGCGAACTGCAAGAACGGTTAAACGAACAAGAAGCAACAATGGAAGAAGTTGAAAGCTTGAAGGATAAATGCAGGAAACATGAAATTGCGTTGAAGGAAGTACGTTCTAAAATTACTGCACCTTTCGCATTCATTTAATAAATTGAACAGCTAATGCTTCTTATATAATTTTTATAGGCGACTTGCAAGTTAAAGGAACTCTCAGATACAGTCACATATCTCGAGAACGAACAAGTGATACAGGTAATTAATATCATTTATTTCACGATACACAATGGATTTACTGAATTTCATTTAAATGTTATTTCTGTACAGAACTCTGGATTACTTGAAAATGAGAAGTCTCGTCGAGAAGCAGCAGAAAGGTAAATTCCCTTTTTGACGATCATTAAAGCCAATTAATCATTATAGTATAATAATTTGTTGTCTATTCGTTCAGCGAAATAAAAAGACTTACCGAATCCAACGAGCGGCTTATGAAGGAGTATGAAGAAATCTCTGAGAAATATGCGGAGATCATTGGTCACCAGAACCTCAGGCAAAAGATTAAACACGTGACACAATTGAAAGACAAAATCAATCAGCTGGAACAGGTGCGTCTCTTTCCTAATCTGTCGAATCAATTCTATTTCTGTCTGTTAATATACTAGATATGTTAGTGAAACGCGATGTATTCTTTCTTCAGGATTTGGAGGCTAAGATGAAAATTATAACACAACAACAGAGAATAATAGAGAAATATAAAACGGAGGAAAAGAGATTGCAGGTCAAAGGGAAAGAGAATTTACAAGGCATACCAAAAACATCCACTACCCCGCATAAATCGTTAACTCCTCTGAGGAATCGCAATGATTAAATTTAATTACACACACATGGTGATTTCTTTTTAGTTTACGTACTTATGCCGTGCTGAAGATCATTACGGTCATACGCTTTAATATTAACTATATATTATATTAGAAACAAGATTTTCGATTAGAGATTGACCATTTCTTGTTTTCCTCCCACTTAATCTTGAACTGATGCAAACATAAAATTCTATATGGTAATTACATGAAGACAGATAAGATATTTTATACATTTAGACTTTTTATATATATATATATAGTACAAATTTATACGTGCGGCGTTAAGAAAAGGAATTTTATTTATACGAAAATCTACTTTTATTCTCTGATAATATCTCGATATTTGACATTATGTCTCAATTAATGTTACACATGCAAATTACTATTATTAATGGTAAATACGATTCATTTTGTGCAGTGTATAGCACTTGGTCTTGCATTTCCTGTATGCGTAACAATAACGTGTAACAAATAAAAGCGAGTAGTAACTGAAATATAAAAGAAATTACTGAATATATAAAAAGATCGCTTTATTTATATTTCATTAAATATCCAGTTGTTTAAATGCTAAAGGCAGCAAAACAGATAATAAATATGTACGTTTGTATTTATGCGCCTCTCATACAGAAATCCTTGTGTTTTAAATCGATCTCATTTAAAACTGATGATAGATTTTATTATGTATGACACTATGATACAAGTACAACTAGTTTATCGGTGTATTGCATGTTGTTTGTTAACAGCATAACAATTTTCATTCAATAGAAAGATTGCTAAGAACCTTTCTTTTCCTCTGGCTTAGTCTTTTCACCTGGTTTGCAGTCTCTTGCATGCTGTCGTTTCACCGTTGAATTTAAATCCTCTTGACAATTAGCGTATGCCATACCTAAACCGAAGCCAGCCCCAGTTATAACGGGCCATTTTCTTCCTGAGAATAAATCAATGTTCGTATCAGAGTAGCCATGAGGTCATCAAAATTAAATATAATGACAATGCATACGAGAATAGAATTTTGATATTCTGTATATCAGAAATCTGGTACATAACCTATAATCCATGTAATAAGAGAATTTCTGTCACCGAGAATTTGAGATTAATAATAAATAGTCGTAAAAAGTCATCAATATATTCGAAAGATTAAGAAATATTGTATTAAAGACATTTTTCAGTCAAGAATCAGTTTATTTCAGAGTTGAAGGACATGTGTCTTTCAATCTTGGGAGAAGAATAAGTTTAAGGAATGCATTATCACATTCGATGCAAGCGTAATTAACACAGAGTAGTAGACGAATTGTTATTATAAAAATATTATATAAACGAGTGAATACTTACGTTTGAAAAAAAATAGGGAGAACACTCCTCCGAGAAGAATTCCTCCTCCTAAGGAATCGACGTTATTATTACCAATAAGAACAAAACACATTTAGACTCGGTTGACAGTAATTTCACGGAGGATATTTACCGAATTTAAAGAGCGCGTCCGTAAAACACCGATCCCATTTCCGACCAATTTCGTCCTCTGCCCAGGTAGCCATTTTTCTACAATAAAGTAGATCTATAATATTGGATGTTATGTCACACGTCAGTCCATTACCACCGATCAGAAGATTCTATGCTATTTAAACATGGATCGTTCGCGGTGATACAAAAACGGGATCCGGGTATTTCTGTATAATCGGCGACGTTTCTCCCAGCAATAAGTGTGAATGTGTAATGTAATCGATGGCAATGATATCGATGCAATTAAACAGTCCCCATTTCGTTTCAAACAAGAGAGCAGATCCGGCGTAGGATTATAGGTATACGAAATGCTATTGCTGTTTACATATTGGTAGAATTTCGGAAAGTATCGGTCGTATGTTCCACGCGCTGGCTGGATTTATTTGAAAGTTGCTTTTATCAGCAACAAGTATAACGATTGTTTTGTTCTTTCATTGGAATCCGCTCGCGTCTGTTTCTGTTCATTTTTAAAACGCCGCGAGGGCTCGCATTCTATATTTTAAGACTAAATATCTGTTACGAAAATCTCTTAGAAGAATAAATATTGTCAATCTCAAAAATGACAATGCGTCTTCGCAACGAAAGACTGGGAACGAGCTCAGACAATTCTACTATGTAAATTCATTCTGTAGATTTTATAATATTCATTTGCGTAAGAACGGTTCTAATATGTATCTGTTTGCTCGAGATACGATTTATTGTATTAAATAAAATAGAATGTGAAATTGAAGTCCGTTTTACCGCCCTCTTGTAATAATGAGGCATTCTAAGATTTGATGTTCCTGGTGCACGCTGTATATATGTATAAGTACGCCCGATGCCCGATTTGACAACATGGTTGTCCAGAAACATCACTATAAAATTCTGATGACAGAGTCTCTGCCCAAGGAATAATCAGAAACAATGTGTTGAACATGTTCGTTAAATACTGTAACACGAAAGAGGGATAGTTTTTAGTCGATGCTGGCTTCACGTTAAAGTGCTGTAAATCCGTTACATACTACACGCATTCATGTTAGAACTACGTCACAAATAATGTTATCGATTAATTTTTTAAGAACGAACGAGTCAATAGGGGTACGATTAAAGAACATTAATAGGCAAACGAATAATACAGGGTCATTAATGAGGCTCGCATTTTTTATCGCGATTTTCGTTCTAACAACCTACCTATTGTCGTCGGTCAATGGGAGCGAGACATTGGGGAACCCTTATGAGATATTAGGCGTTCACAGGCGTGCGAATTTGCAAGAAATTCGCAAGGCGTATAAAAATCTCGTCAAAGAATGGTGAGTGCCACTAGCAATCGTGTTTACTTATTTTATCATCGAGTACGAAACCTCGACGATCTCGTGCCATGCGAGCAGTTCGAACGAGCTATTTTATATTTAGAATAATGTACCTCATCGAAGTACACGAGATGTTTCAAATCCTTACTAAAAATCAGCTCAAACGATCGTTTCGCAAGTCGTAAAATTATGTACATGGACGATTATACACTTATTTGTTCCTCACACTTAATCTTACAATAGTCTTTATTTCTTTTAGGCATCCAGATAAAACCGATCATCCTGGCGCAGAGAACAAGTTCGTGGAGATTACAAAAGCTTACGAGGTAAATCTAGCACTCAGAACCTAAACTCGAGGTTTTCGTTCACGTATCATCGTTTTGCCCCCAGATTTTAACCGACCCAGAAAGAAGGAAAAAGTTCGATAACCATGGAATCACAGAAGAGAGTATTCCTAGACAAAGGAGGGACAACAGCCACTACAATAACGTTTTCGATCCACTGGAAGAACTGTTCGCCAGAAACTTCAAATTCCATTACCAAAATCGTGATATATCCCTTTTCTACAAGATGAGCATCACATATCGGTACTGTATCACTCCAGAGAGTGTCCGATCGTAAAAATTGAATGACTGTTAAATAACACGAATACGATATTCTGCAGGTCGTTTGAAAACGTAATAGTGCCGAAAACATTTCGTACACCTTATCTGATATTATTTTACTCGGACTGGTGTTTCGCGTGCTTGCAAATCGAACCGACCTGGCGACGTCTGATCGACGAATTGGAGCCGCTGGGCATCGGTTTGGCGACTGCACATGCAGAAAAGGAGTCTGCATTGGCAAGGAAGCTGGGAATTCATTCGTTGCCATGCCTTGTTGTCACTATAGACGGCCGTACGAGTGTATATAAGGAATCTCTTTATAGCGTTCAAAAGATCGTTGGTACGTAATATTAATGAAGCGACGTGTTCAATAGTTTCATGTGATACTGTTGCACAATTGAATAGATTTTCTTTTCAGATTTCTTACGAAACAAGTTTCCCTACAAATTGATAGCTAATATAGATAAATATAACGTCGACAATTTCCTCTCAGGATGGATAGATAATCGAATTCGAGCTTTAATATTTGATAAGAAGGAATCCATACGATTGCGATATCTGGTCATCGCGTTTTATTACAGAGACCGTGTCGCGTTTGGGTTTGTCCATGTAAGTCTTCGTTTTTTAGCACGATGTTACATTTCTCGATCGCCTTAATTACGATTTCGGTGTTTGCAGATGGGGAAATCAGAAACTGAACCGATCGTAACGAAGAACATGATTTCCGCAGATTTAGATACTTTGTTACTTTTCAATGAGAATCCTGAGAAACCTATGGCGTGCGTTAGTATGAAAGATATATCTAGCGATACGATGCACAACGTTATTTCAAATAACAAGTTCCTTGCTTTACCAAGACTCTCGAATCAAGCAATCTTAGACTCTGTCTGTCCGCCCGAATGGTTAAGACCACAGAAACGATTATGTGCCATTTTAATATCACAGCAGAATAGCCCCCTTCACGAATTGGCTAGACATAAGTTTAGGCAAGCGGCTTTAGAGTCGTCTTACAGGTAACAGCATCTTCATTTCTAATAACTTCAGCTTCGTTCGATTAGAATAAATCATTTAATTTGCAGTCCCGAGAGGGTCAGGTATACGTACGTATTTAAAGACACTCAGCCGGATTTCGTATCAGCGTTGTCAACGGGAGAAGGCAGTCCTTTGGAACCTTTATTGCACATCGTTATTATTTGGCGGAGGGACGCGAACCATTTGAAATACGAATGGTTACCCACCGGCTGGTTCGAAGCCGCTCTCGATGAAACTCAGTGGAACGAAACACGCCGCAATTTAGAACAAACCATACAGAGACTGTTGCGTGCATCCGAAGCTTTGCCATACGCCGCAGTCGTAGGGGAATTGGCAGACGAGCATGCACAGGTACGTAAAGAGTCTCGATTGTCCTTTAGATTCTATTGAACGACTGATATTTCTGTACAGGGTACTGTAGACAAACTAATTGGGAAAGCGTTATTAGCTGTAGACTATATTTCGGATAATCTTACTAAGGAGCAAATATTGCCTTTGATATCGGTAATCGCTACTTTAATGTTAATCGGCGCTGCGGGCTACGGGATGTCGTACTTAGTGTAAGTAAAGCAATAAAAGATGCTCTGATCTTCGTACTCAAGCTTTCACTGTATGCTCGATCCATCGATTCACAGGAAATTAGAAGAAGCAAGCATTCAGGCTGACCGTGCTCAATGTAAAGATAGTAGTAAATCAACGCCGTCACAGCCACAATTACGATTGCATGAGTTAAGGGCAGAGAAATATAATGGTCTAGTTCGATTATTAAAACCGGGCTGTAGAACCATTATATTGTTAGTCGACGCTCAAAGTAGACTAAAGTTATTACCAGCTTTTCACAAAGCTGTGTGGCCTTATAGGTAAATTATACTGAGAACGATTATCTTGCTCGTTGATCCTTTAAATAATTTTCAAAGTTTACTTTCTTGTAGGAAAAATAAAACCCTTATGTTCGGACATTTGTCTCTTGAAAAGGGGCTGGATTGGTATAGGAAACTGTTATCTCTCACCTTGCCGGAACAGAAAGAATTGAATATAAACGCGAAGAATTGTGTCGGCACTGTGTTGTCATTGAATGGGCATCGGAAATATTTTTGTATGTACCATGCGAAACACCCGGAGTGTACCAAAGGCAAGGGTTCTAAGGTATGTATTAAATATCCTTGATTAAATGAATCATTCATTGTGTGTGTCGTTTGCTCAGAGACTGGAACGAATGACGAAGCAGTTGACTCGAAGGACGGACGACGCAGAAGCCGGTGCATTTATTGGTTTCGACAGTTCTAACGAATCCGACGTTTCCGAAGAAGAGGTATGACGTTTCTCGTTCGTATCTTGTGGCTCGAACGTGGGTGGCTATTTGTTTCTTTTTCACAGGGTGGAAATAATGTTTTGTACCAGGACAATCTCTTGGACGGTTTACCAATGTGGCTGGACAGATTATTCGAGGGTTTGACGCACCGTTACTATGTAAACTATTGGCCCGAGTTCACTGCCAAGTAAACGAAGAACTGGATGTATGTACATCCTGATGGTCTGTATACTTTTTGCAATAGAAAAAGGGATCCAACTAATTGAAACGATATCATACATTTGACATATTCTATACGATTTAAAAACAGCTGCATTCTTTACTTTGGTACAGACGTAGGACACGTTCGTTGTACGTTATATTATTATTTATGAGCTGATTCGCGATTCTCTCTATGGATAAAATTTAACGATTTAAAATGCAGGATTTTATAAATTTCTAAAAGTACATTAATCTTCGTTGCAGCTCGAATCCTTCTGATTGGTAACATTATTTCCTAAACAATTCTAGTCAATGCCATTAAAGACATAACAATACTTATATTTAAAATATGTATAGACATTGTATATTTATATATTTATAAATGTCAATCGTTCGTTTTCTCTCCTGAGCATAATTCATTGTTATGATATATTGCAGATCATTGTTACTTTCCATACAAAGTTTGATAAAAAATCTGCTTACGTATTTCAAAGCTTGTCATAACATAATCACTTCGATTAACTTCATATTGATTTTGAAACGGATTTAAAAACTTATAACTACATTTTCACTCTTGAAACCTATTAAATATCCTAAGCTACTAAATTCTTGTCGAACTTGCCTTCGATTCTTCTCTTTGCAAGAGTCCATTCCTATTTTACTCGGGATATTCTTTTCATTCTTTTTTTATTAAATTCTGTATACTCAATACAGTGTTAATATTTAAGAATATATTTTCTTGTGAATAGATATTTATAATTAAACGTTTTTTATCGTTATATTTTTTATTTTCCTAGAGGAAATATTGGCAGCAAACACGTCCTGTACATTTATTCATTCGTTAATGCAAATTCTATGTTGAAATTTATAATAATAGTAATAATAATAATAATAACAATAATAATAATAATAGTACTGATAGTAATAATATTGATAACACGATAAATAATTACGTGCTTTATACAGCGCATTATGCAAATTAAAAATTGTGAGGAGTAATTTATAGTCGATGGGAAAAAGAGAGAATGATTAATATTCTCAGGTAGAACAATAATACTGGATAGCATAAATAAAAACTAGTCCCTTTTTCAGCTACGTTTAAGTAATCTATATATTTAGACTATATTTTCCAACTATTACGAACATCACTTCGCTATTCATTCGAATATAAGTCATCCCATAAGTATTGCCACTTTTATAGTTAAGAGATTTTAAATTGTAATGGATTTGAATATATTTTTAAATCGTTTCAATTCACCTGAACTTTCAGTATTTGTTTCTATCGTTTGGTGCCACCCGGGCACGTGGCTAACTCGACGAGACAGCAATTTGTATAAAATGGAAAATCGTATGTTAAGACCATAGCGAATTACGACGGACTTATGAGATGACTTTTTACTGCAAGGAAGTCGGTTTATGTTAAATATGTACAGATCATGTTACATGAAATTTATCTTCGGAATTTTTAACTGCATGGAAACAAATTAAATATAAATGATTGTTTATATTGTGTATACATTCTATAAAGATATTTAAAATATGCTGAAATAAATATATATAACTAAACACCTGTATCATGTTAATCCACGAGAGGTGAAACTAATTCCGTTCATTATGGAAAGTATATTTATTTTCTTCACATATATAATACATATATATATACACAGTTTAGTGATGTTTCAAGTTCACGTAAATGATAAATTCTGTTTTGTACTTCGTTTAAAAATTAATAAACCAGTCAACAGTGTGTCATAGCTTTGACACTTATAAATGTCAGAAATAATGTATAAAAAAGGCTGTATACACCGAACACAATTTTATCGTTTACCTTTGAATTCGGGAAAAACCTCGTACATGACGACTTCAAAAATGTCCTGTAAAAATAAGGAAATGTCGTTATTAACCGGACAGAACTCAGAACAATAAATACTTACATGAAACAATTGTTTATTTAAGTTCACGTTCTGTAAGGAATCAAATATCTTGATTGCACCAGATTGTGCGCTCTGAGCTCCAAGTAAATTCGTTAAGACGTCTGGTATATTGTTTAGAAATTGTCTCCGCGCTTCGCCTCGGGTCTTCAATTTCTCCTCGTCCGTGCGAGGAACAGGCTCAGACACCAGATGCCCGTTCGGCCACCAGGATTTCGTGAACAATTGTATGTAGTAGTGAAGCATAGGTTCTGAGAATATCCACGCAATGGTATCTCTGATTTGCCTAACAGTTATAATTACTTTCTATTACATCCTGAAATTTTTCATATATATTGAAATAGTGATTGATACCTATTTATGGTACGTCTATAAGTGATTTGCACGAAAGTAATTAGCGAACGTCGGAACCAGCGGAACACTCCTCTCAAGTCGAAGATTTCTTCTAAAAGCACGTAAAGCGATTCTGGAACCGCGTCCTTATTCATACTTAGGCATCCATCCACAGCTGTCCGAGTAGTATCGATATCGTCTAACAACAGAGAAAGATCTTCTTCCTCTTCTTTATCACGAATCTCACTACTGTTGTTAGACCTAGAATAGAAGTTTCTCCGATAAGATTCTTGTAACTAAAGTGGTATTATAAGACATACGTTTTAAACAGCGTCGACAGAAAGAATCTAGATTTCTTAGGGGATGGAGGAGCGTATTTTAAGTGTTCCGAACTCGGGCTAAGGAACGTGTACAATGCCTCGCTTTGGTTTAATTTTTCATCTTCTAAAACAAACTAAGATTAAATAAAAATTAGAATATCTAAACTAAATTTCATTGTAGGAACGTGAAATACGAGAGATTCACATTTAAATATTTCTGTATTTGTATCTTAGCCTTGTCTAAAGTGTTCTTATCGGATTTCCCGAAGAACTTCAAAGGTTGCAATGGCAAATCTAAATGCTTCACTGTAGGACACAACTGACGAAGTTTCCTATGAAGATCTTGGAAATCTTGTAGCTTCCTTAACACGACCCAACCGCTGCATATACTTTCATTGCTACGCTCGTCTTCCACCATATGAACGACTAGAACGAAATGCGGAGACTCCCCGTTATCTGGCACCTGTTACAATTTTATTTCATTAAAATTAATCAACACAAAACGCAATCGAACTGTACCTCTGCGTTTTGTACTTCTGCTCTCCAATAGCCCAAGTGTTCTGCCCACATTTCCGTATGCGTCAGATGCGCTTCTAATTGCCTCTTCTCACTTTGCAACCATTCGACCTCTTTAGCCAAGAGGTTTAAAACCTTGCTCTCCGGCTTCAACGAAGATTTCAACGCTTGCAAAGCTTGCATTTTATTATTTAATTTCTCCTGTAGCTGATCCAATTTGCTACGGGCATAATTCGAATGTTCTCCAACGAGTAAAGACATATTTTCCGACAATGCACCAGTTCCCATTCGTCGATCCTCTACCAGATCTAAGAATTTATATAGTTAATAATCTGTATCAATGTTAATCACTGTTTTATACTGACCATCAGTTCTCTCGTTGAGTAATGCCTCTTGCATCGTTTTATATTGCTCGCTGACGACGAACGACGGGTAATATTTCTCTTCTAAAGTCTTAACAACGTCGTCTTGTACTTCGTAAAACACGTCAGGCCCTATATCGCCCAGCAGGAAACTCTCCATCTTCTTTCGTATAGTTCTATCGACCTTTATCTCGGCCGTGGGCGACGTGATGTAAGTGTAAAAGATCTCAGCCCCTAATTGATGCCAATTCGACTTACTCGCGGACCGTAGTTCTTGCACAGCTGCCCAGTAACCGATTAAATCTTGGCTGGCGACTTGTTCCAGGAACTGCGACAGATACCGTCTACCGATCACGTTCTCCAAAATATGTTGTAGCGGTAGAATTCTTTCCTCCGTAGTGATCATCGCTCCGTCAGTAGTGTCACTGGTTTGCGCGGGATATCCATTCCATCCTAGCGACTGCATGTGACATTCGCACGTGTCTTTAGCATACGTCAACTGGCTGATGTATTTCTTCAGTTTCCTAGCTTGCATCGCGTCCGATTTTCCAAACACGTTATTGTCTGGATCTAAGCCTTGTGATCGCTTCACGTTCTGTACCGTCGTAGCTTGCATGATCTCGGTGACGATGTTGTATCTAATGTGCTTTAAAACCTCCAAGTCCTTCGAACCTTTGATCATACGGATGAAGTCTTCAAACGATTCGGCGTACTCGTAAGTTTTTCTGTGCATTGCCTCAGCGAGCTGCTGCTGCTCGATGTACGACAGAATCTTTTGATTTATGTAATCTGGATTTGTAATTAAATCTATCGCTGGTTTCAATACTGAAAAATGAGACCAAGGAACCAATTATTCCACATTATTAATTCGATAGTAATTTCTTATGTAAGTGTGTTGTAATTTATAATTGATCGACGCTTACTTTTACATGCAATGATCTCCCTTAATAAATACTTCATCGGCGCCAAGGAATAACAAGGCGGTAGCAGGAATAAAATGTACAATTCACTGACTTTCCTTAAGTAATCTAATTCAGCGCTGGGCGACATTAAATGCGATGATAAAACGAATACTGGATCTTCGCCTTCTGCCCTGTTTCACATTGCGACATTTAATAATGTCTACGAATGGTGCATGATGATACAAGTATTGAATCATTGAACTTACGACGCGGTTTGAGCCATTCGAATCTTTTCGAAATGGAATGTAATTTTATCGACTATGTTACAAACGACTAGTTTCGTATGATCCACTTTCGAGAGACGATCGTGGAGAGTTTGGATTCCCCCCCAGGTGTCTTGCTTCATGTTATCTATTATCTGTTCGGAATTGAACGACAATTCGTTCAGCCACGAGCCAACGAAATCTTGGAAAACTAAGTCTAACAAGTTTTGTAGAGCTCCGTCCACCATTCGGGTAAAAACTAATGGATATCTTGTATGCTTCTTAGCATTCGTGTCCTTGGCAACGTATCCTTTCTGAAATAGTAATTGAAACATTGTTAATCTTGAAATTATATTCCTATCTGTGGAATCTATCAAATTGCTTCTTGATTACATAGAAATCTTTAGATAAAAACAATGTTATTGTTTCATTATCTTATCTATGGCTATAAAAGATAACGAGGAAAAGCTTATTAATCCTGTATGTACACGCGAAATGTTATTCCTTTAATTCATAGACCAGCTATTTGATTATCGATTATGTGGACCATTAACAAATTACGAAATCCGTACGAACCATTAATAAATTATGAAATGCATCCATCTCAGCGACTGTTTTCAAAGTAGCCGCACCTGTCTGATGCTTCGGCGAGAGAGCGATATTTATGAACATAACTATTAAACATCCCAGGCAGAAACAGGAGATGGTCAGCACGCCGAAAATGCAGCACCATAGTAAATTATTCCAATAGAAAAACGCAGTGATAATTGAAACGTACAAAACAGCAGACATCATTTTGTATTCGATGAATTTCGTCCCAGTGAATATTTACATCTTTGGAATAATAATTGGGAAGCTGTCACTGTCACTGTCTCGTGTGCAACACGAAAATCGAGATAAACACTCGCATCGCGGGACACGAGCAATCGCAAACTGACAGAAACAGAGTGAAATTATCAGCTATGTGAATTTAGTTGAGAGCGTGGCGCTGGCGCTGGAAGCCATTTTGAATACGACCAATCAGAATCGTCGGTCCATTCAACCGAAGAGTCTGGAAGAGTCCGAACTGCGCAGAATCCATGGCTGGTTCGTAACTGTGCGTCGTTCTGAATTGAAATTATAATTCTCCTCGTTTATATATCATTTTTGAGTGAAATTAAAGTGTCTTGTGTATCCTGGACATCGGAGGACGAAGAAATAATGATAGGGAACATGATTTCGGAAGGTTCGAGTGATCTGTTCAACGCTTCCTACGAAATAATGTGAGTATGTACCGTACGACGACGCAGCGACAACGTAACGTTGACGCTTGCTAAGATTACGTAGTTTTTAACTGTTTTATTGGAATTAAAAAGGGTTTTCTTTTACAATTAGGTGTCAAAGAAACGTGTAGCACAATACTTTCATATCAATGGTCGGTGGGAAGCAGTCCTGGCGTTTTGGAAGGGAGCGGTCCTGGCATTTTGGAGGGAAACATCTTGAGTAAGTCAAACAACAAAACTTGTAATTTAATTATAATCCGCTTTGGCGTTTCCTGCGTGATTTAAATACAATGTATCTCATCTGCGAAGATGAATTTTATATCACAGTGTCGAAATTTTCACACTGTGATTTTCATCTTCTAATATTCCTGTGATAATCTGTGATAATCTGTGACAAGCTTGATTAAAGGAAGCAAATTAATATTAATTTGACGATGAGACACAACATAAAGTAGGTAAGATTAAATCTAGGTAAGATAGGTTAAAGATAGGTAAAAATAAATAAAATCTAAATCGTCTACAATATCGTATATAAGAATTAACAAGTTTCTATATTGTTTCTTAATTACAAGTACCATTTCCTTGAATAATTTGAAATATTCGATTGGGGGTTGACCGAATTAGAGTTTGAGATATCACAGTTTAGAAATTTCCATAAAACCACTGTATTCTTCAATGAAATCTTCTATTCCCATGATAATCGTAATTGATAATCGTAAATTGATGTTCATTTGATAATTATAATCATAATTATCATTAGTTTTTCTATTATTTCTGACTGAGAGATCAGCATCATTTCCTTCAGTAAGTTGAAACACCGGATTTGAACGAATTCGAATATGAGGTCTTGTTCAATGAACCTGTTGTACATCTGAATTTCTTCAAATTAGCATAAACTCTTTTCACGACTACTTCTCATAGATTTTTACAAATTTAGATAAAATCTAGATCGCTCGCATCGAGAGTTCGATACGTTTCTCAAAGTACAAGGAGAAGTAACGTGTAAAAACGAAGGTGGCTTTATAAAAATGCCGACCAGCGTCTGCGAACGTGCGAACAGTTTTCGCGAAACGGTTCTTATTCCTCGGAAGCGGTGTCGGACTATACATCGCAGGAAGTCCGTTCGGTGTTACACGTACACGGTCCGGAGGACTTGCGCAGCATCCCTACGAGCGAGCACACACAGACACGCGGGGCCAAAGAGCGGGGGCGTCAGGGGATGATAGGGGAAGGATTTCGCTTTTTAATCCGTGGGTGTGGACGCACGGTGGGGATCTGGAACAAAGTAGGGAGGGAATCTCGCGTCGGGGTGCGACTGGTAGAGGAACAGTCGCGGAAAACCTGCGGGAATCGTCGTCCTTCGTAACCGCGGCACTATCCCCGCGGCTCCTCGCCCCGATTTCTCGCGTTCCCACCACGACCCCTGCGTCCCTACCAGCCCATCGTCCCTCCCCATCGTCAGACATTCCGGCATCCTGTCTCACGTCCTCCGTTCCTCCGCGGCTGGCGGGGGTTGCTACTTGCCTCCTAGTGACTTTCGTGGGGTCGAGTAACACGTGCGTGAGGAAGCACCGCCGGTCCGCGACCGGTGCCCTTCCGCGGATACCTCAGGAATAATCGATCAAGATCGATTAAACGCGAAAGTCAGATCGCACGTGCCTATCGCTCGCGAGTGATCGTCATCCGGTGGCTCGATGCTGCGTCACAATTGCGGAGTCGATCGTCGCTCGACTGCCACGGAATTCGGATTTTATTTCGGTTTCGATTGATTTCAATCCCCTGGTCCCGGTATCCTCTTCACTCGATCGATCGGTCGATCGAGAACAGAGTGTTACAGAGTGTCTGTGAACCGATTTAAAAATTCGTCGTCCGCTGAGAGATCAGAATATCCGTTCGATCTCTACCGCTGATTCGAACACCGGTACGATTCTAGATCGTTGAATTTTTAGTTACACGGAAGTCAAGTGATCAAGTAAGTAGAACGAGGAGTTTGCAGGGTGTAAACGTCGGTATCTCGGACAAGGATTAATTTCACACCATTCTTCCATCCTGTTTTGCGAGCGCCGAACGGGGCGACACGCTTTTTAATTAACGCAATTACCTATTTCTCTTTTTCTCTTGTCTCTCTCTCTACGTCGATGCAGCGCGACGTTTCGTATTAGCTACGCAGAAGGGAAGCCGTTCGCGGAAAACGAATTCCGTTTCGAACGGAACGACCGTCGCGTGACGACGATTGTTCCGGTAACGAGGAAACCTCTGACCTTCTTGCAGAATTCCCGTCGACCCAATTCAAGATCGAGTGATTCATTTATGAGGACCGTCTAGAAATACGTCCGCGGCTCGTACCTCTCGTGGATAAATAGATCGAGGAAGCGGAACAACGGTATATTTGGATTAATTCGTTCACTGGTTCGGCGAATGGTTCGTTCGATCGGCTCGCGCCTCCCTCAGAATCGTGAAGTGGTTTCTTCGCTCCGTTTCCACGGTACGACAGTGCCTGTGTGTTACCGAAAGGAATCGACCGAGTGGAAAAGGCAAGTTGAAAAAGAAGTGCTGACGAAAGATTCTCAGAGCTGTTGGCCTTCGCAACACGTAATATCCTCGCATCAATCATATTACGATTTCTCTTATTGTTCGACGCGAATTTCAAATCAAAAGTCGAACATGACTTCGTTTCAATTTGCCATACTTTGTGAGTCATGTTGCAAATCATGTGTCGTGCGTCGCGTTTACATAAAGTGTCGTAATTTCGTTGTTTTCACAGCTTCGATAGGTCTGAGTCGTCTCTCGTTACGTGGAAAATTGGTGGAAAAGGACTGGTCGCAGATTTCCTTTAATCATTTATAGATATAAGGACATCTGAGATATTTCCAATCGGGTGGACAAGCTCGATGAAAGGTGTTCCTCTAGATCTTTCGTAATTGGGAATGATTGATATCGAGTGACAGTTCTCCCGTTTGTCCAACGGCAAAGATAAACTGCGTAAAGTGGCGAGAGGGACAGCAATGCAGTGAACGCATCACGACGTATGCAGTTGAAGACCAGGGGCTGTGCCGCGCCTCTCAGCCTATTGCTTCGTCTCTTTCCCTCTTGGTTTACGTGTACCTACCTACGTACACGGCGTGTACCGTGTCCTCATGCATTACAATGTGTGCTCATTAAACGGTGTCATCGCTGCCAAATTAGAATCAGGTAGACGGATTACTTTGGACCTGTAAATAATTGTGACGTCGAGCAAACTCAGAGTCTTCTGTCATGCTATGGAATGTTGTTTGATCGCATGAAATCGAGGGAAATTGGTAAGAAAGAAATTCGATGTCGTACAGACAGTGAACGGTTGGACTAGAATCAGGCGAGGGTAGAATCCGCGTAGGTGGCACGTTCGCCTGGTCGCGCGCAGTTTATGATAATATTTAATCCAGTTATAGGCGGAGGGTGAATATAGAACGGACGACGGGCGGGCCGAACCTCGTTGCGGTTAGTTGATGTTCCGATGCACGGTGTCGTTGGTAGCAGGTAGTAATCCAGTTATGCTCGGGCTGCGGACTCTACGCATTGCCGGTTACGTTCCGACCGCGTTCCATCAGTTTTCTTGGTCGTCGCCTTCGAAACTCTTCGAACGAACTCGAAACGAGCGATCGCAACTACAAAGGAATTTACGAGTCTGTCTCGTTGTCCTAAATTTTATTAATTTCGGTCAGTCAATCACGTTGCTTTGATCTCCGATGTTTCGATTGTTAGCCGAGCGAATTGCCGTGACCAACCGTTTCATCCCTCTGCGTCCCTCTCGTCCGTGGCCAATTCGATAGTTTGCTAATCCACTCGGCTAATCTGTTGGCCACACGACGAACAAGATCGAACCGTCGGAAGTTCAGCGACGGATTCTCGGTTTAACAGTTCGTACTACGAGCCGAGGTCGTCGGAATCGATTTGTTACGATTGTAAACGCGTTTTAACGTCTCCTCGCCGCGATACTCATCGGATCGCGAAGCCGTTGAGTGGCAACGGGATTTCGGTCGCGCACGTGTTCCCTCGGTAATTTCGACTCTCACGTCGGCACCGCACGCTTACAGATAAGCTCTTCCTCTCGCCTTTGGTCTCTGATAAAATCAACAATTAGAAAACGTATTTCGTTACTCACTGAAATTAAAAGACGCACGCGGGTATCAGTGAATGTCAGTGTCAGTGAACCAGGATATCTACAAAAAAACGATCTCCGTTCGAAGAAATCTTTGGGACGTCGCGGGATATTAATTGAACCATTCTGGAGAGGAAATGATCGCGTGTTCGGCGATCGACACTTGGAGGAAACCGTGAACCGGCTCGAGCCTCTCGCAGCGACCCAAGTGCCCCGGCTCGGTGGGTCCAATGGTTGTTCGAGGTCCGGTCAAACGTCATGCTCGATCTTGTTCGGATCTCGGTGCCACGGTGGCCGGTATAGAATCAATCGCACGGGCCACGAGAGCGGAGCAGCTACGTGGGAATCGTCGAAACGAGGAGACAGCCGTCCGGGCGTCGAAGGAGTACCAACGCGACGATCTCTCGGCGACACGACCTCTCCGAATTTTAATGAACAACGGCGCGTGGCCATACAACCTGAGCCGACGTAGAATAAAAAGGAGGAAGAAGGCGGCGATCGAACGACATTGTCACAAGCGCACGCTGTTCCTATGACTCGTCGCTGATAGCTACTTCGAATATAATTATAATTTTTATAGAGAGACAGAAAACTCTGAATACGATTATAGTTCCTTCTACCGGCGATGAGATGACTCGTGAGATTCGTCATAGTCACACGGTTTCACGTATTCGCCTTCGATCCTATATATTAATCGTATAAACGTTAGACTGTCGAAGAAAGGAATTATCAGAGACGTTAAGCGGCATTTAAGAGTAAAAGAATTAATCTATCGGAAGATCAACGAATTTATGACGCGGCGTGACACGGAACTATGAAAACGGGAACGTGGAAAAGCCGAGGGAAGTAGGATTAGCCTTTCGCGATCGATACTTGGGTCCATCCGAAGATATTTAATCCCCGACAAGGTTCCTAAAAGGATTTCCTCCTTGATCATCGTCCGACCGGGCTGTACGCTTTTCGAAGACACGTTCCCGCGAATCTCGCCCGGTGGACAGACAGGTACGTCGCGAGCCGAGAGGAGAGAGCCGTGGAAACGTGAGACGAGAGCTTGGCAAGCAGACGAGACGCGCCGGGGGGATCACGTATCCTCGCGTTTCCCTCCCTCGCGGGAAATCATCGCCGAGGAAGGAACAGAGAAGAACGCATCCGGCCTTATCTCTTCTTTTTTTCTCTCTCTTTTCATCTGCGACGTTGGAGAAAATTCGTACCGCTAACGAGGTACAAACTCCTCGCGGCTAGAACCAACGGAATTTCTGAGGGAAACAAGATTCGCGGAGCTCCTTTGCATCTTTTCATCCGAGAGGGAGGGATCGGTCGGTTTCCAATCCTACCGATGAAAAATAATCGCTTTTGAATCGAGTAAGAAACGTGGTCGTCGGAGTATCGGTTGACGGTGAGCTCTCCGTTCGACACAAAGGGAATTCGAGGAAAGTTGTGCTGTCGCACGGGAATCGTTTGCGATAAAGATATCGAACGAGTAGGAGAAGTCGCGGAAACGAGAGTAAACAGATCGAGTGGAATCGATAGGGAGAGAAAAGTAGACGACGGTCCGGCTTTCATCCCGTTTCCGAGGGATTTTCGTCGCGAACGATACGGCGCACCCTTTGAGAAGGCTTAACGTTACTAAGACGGAACGAGGATGTGCCCCGGTTGGAACATCGGGAGAATCGGGCCCTTTTTTGGGAACTCGGAGAAATGAAGTTATCAGTGTCGGCTTATAGAGCTCAGGCCAGTGCCCACAAGAAGATCCTCTCCAATTATCATCAGCATCAGTTGAGCTACGGCGCTACCAATCAAGCGGCCTCGGCCCGGACCCCCTCTGACCCCGCTGCGTTCCTGACTGGCTTCAAAGTGAGTACACAGCCGACACTACATCTACTCCTCTATGAAATATCGTTCATTCTTAACAACGAGCTTAGGAGATTCTTTGATGCGTTATTGAAATATCTACGTTTCAATCGTCTCGATCGACCCTTTGACAGCTTATCCCCAGTAGAATACGGTTTAATCGAGAATCCATTAAGATCTTACCTGGAGGACATGTTCCTCGTATCAGAAATTTAAAGTTCGCGATACGAAAGATTCTATTTGTACGTCAAAGGGTCAACTCGAATAGCTGGGAGTTCGATTTGAAAAGGAAAATTGTATTTCGTGCAATGCAGTTGAACAGAGCGACGAACAAAAGGTACAATCAATATTTTTCTTTATAAATTGTTCCAATAACGTTTCAGAAACGTTGTTAACAGTCGCTCTTTGTCACTAAATAATCTTGCGAATGTTATTTTGTGGGTTGGTTAAAACTGGGTTGGGTATTAAGGACGATTAAAAAATAAGCAAAGAGAATATACGAGATGTGAAGTAGGATATGAAGAGTTACGTAAAGAACATGATTAATTGCGACTTCAACTTTACAGAGTTGAGTTTTTACAAATCTCTTTTTTACTCGTCGAGAGACGAGAATATTTTTAATTTATTTCACGATCGAGACGCGCGCACAGATTGGTTCGAATCCCACGTCGAGCTCGTCTGTACTTGGGTTATTACGCGTTGTCGTCGTATCACGTCTCGAGCCTGATTTGCATGCCCCGTGTCATTTAAATTTCAAACGAATTTCCGCGCCGGAAAGCTATGCGAGAAAGTGAAACGAATCTCGTCGAATGCGACGCGCAGCGCAGGCGACGACGACCGCGCCTCGTATTTGCTAATTGTGATAACAACGCGGATTTACCGGGTATCGGGTTCGCGCGGCTCCGACCGCGAAAAACCACGTCCAACTTTTTTCCCCAATCGCGAAATTAGATTTATCGACGTAGATAAAGAAGTCGGAACGTCATCCTGTATTGGCTCGATACAAGGGAAAATTAACTGGCCCGTTAAACCACGTTTTAATCCCGTCACCTCGGGTCTTTCCTTAATTAGAAACTTTTTCTAATTGTCGAATTAAATTTCGGTTCCCCGCGTGATTCATTGCGTCTCGTTTATCATGGGACACAGACATTCACCGACGATGAATGTAGAAATAGTTATTCCACTTTGTTATACTTTATCGTTTTGAAAGAATTCAGTCCGCATACTGAATTCTTCTTTTCTCATAATCATTCATTATGGCGAACAGACGTTTAACGACGATGGACGTAGAAATAGTTACAATTTTATTCCAGCTTTTTCCCTTCGTCATAATTCATCGTTTTGAATGAATTCGTTTCATACAGTGAATCATTTTTTTTTTTTTTTTTGAACGGTGCTGTTGTAAAGAATACCATACGTATTTTAGCTGCTTTTTGAAGTGATACACAACGAGAATAGTAATCTGTTTTCACCGTTGCTCGCACTTATCGTGCTGCGCAGTTTTTGAAAGTTACAAAGTTTCTGCTGGCGTTCGGTAGGAGTTATCTCGCCCATACGCTTCATTTAACATTGCTCCTCGTGTACGAAGCGTCACGGTCGTACATACATACATACGTACATACGTAGAAACGTAAAAATACCGGATGTACGCTGGCGGATGGTAACTCGTGTCGGTCGAAAATCCGAACGAGCCGTTATTAATATTCTCCCCGGGCGTTGCGACTTGTACGTAAACAAGTTCCGCGGCCTCGTAGTAAAAAGTAAATCCCGGGTCCGGTACGTCACCAGCGACAAACAACGATAACTGATCTTTTTTCTTTTGTATGGATGCAGCTCTGAGTGCGCCAGCTAGGAGCGAGCGACAATCCAAGTAGAAAATGTCGAAAAAACTGGCAGTGGTTCGTATATCGGTCCCCGTAAGTGTTACTGTCTATCTACTTTGGTCGAGTGTACCCGCACCATGTACATAGACACGAGAGTGCATTACATGCCCGTTTGACAAAAGGAAACAGAATTAACTCTCCCCTAACAAAAAAAAAAAAAATAATTAACACGAGAAGAATTCTCGGTTTTTTACATCCAGCATCCAAACACAAATAGCGTGTAAATCGTTTGTTGAGTAGTTCAAGCCTTCCTCCCCCTCGACTCTGCTGCAGCATGTTTCGCGAATTCGCGTCGATGGTTCAGGGAGTGTAAAGAACGAACGTGTCTCAGAACTCAATAACTTTTTTAATATCGGGCAAAGCAAGTTGATATCACTTGGGGTCTTAGAATGAACTTCCAAATTCTTTACCCTTCGATTCAGTCTTCCAAGGGAGAATGAAGTTTGGTTAATTCAATATTAAAAATGTTCTCTTTAATTTTGAAGATTAATCCAAGTCACTGTGTGATTGTTTTAATCGTTTCAGTGTTTATGCTCTCTGAAGCGTTGACATGGTTCTGTGAAACAGTCTGTATTTAGCGAAGGTGTAATGTAATTGGATGTAAAAAGAGAGACATAGATCACCCTTAACCAAATAACCAACCCCCCCTTGGTCTAGCATTAGTCTTCCCGACGTGAATGTTTCACATCCGAGAATTCGAATTCAGTTTGTTTTATACAACGTTTGTCCCACTTAGGTGTTCCCCTGCTCATGTTTGCTGTCATGTTACTCTGTAATTTACTGTAGTAGTTGAATGTCTCATTGAACTTTAGAGCTGCTTTAATATTATAGATTTAAGAAGTAGTCGACGGAACGTCTGTCTTGCGAAATAAATGATCGAGTGCTACGTGCCTACTTGCGGTTTTATCGTAAATAGAATAAAACCAAGTATGTATTGTGCGGTTCTCGAGGATGGATTTCCCTTTCGAAGTAGGCGAGTTGATAAGGAAACGGGAAGCCTGTCATAGGTTTGATCGAGCGATACTTCTCTGGAAATTATTTACTCTTACGTACATGCAAAGTGTACGGAAAGGTCAGCATAGAAATTGTCCCACGTGTTAATCAGGTGAAAAACGGTTCGTACGGATTTAAGTGAGAAAATTTACTGTAATTTCTGCAAGCTCGTAATTAATCGCTATGAAGTTTTAATCGGACCCTTTAACGGGATTCTGGCACGGAATCAACAGCCGTTAACCAGAAAGCCTGGAAGTGTTATCCTTCCCGATCGTGCCCGGATTCGCGGGTTTCCTCCCTTCGGAAGGTGATCAGAATCGGAAAGTTTTAATTAAACGCGATCCTCCCTTATCGTCAATCATCAATAGAACTCGTTTCTTCCGATCAAATTCGTTTCATATAATTACACAAAATTATGTACATATTTACATAGTCATGAGATTCTTCGTCTTCTCAAACTATTCCGTTCCTTCTGAGAATCTTTTTATACGCGTGTTTAATGAAATTCCTTCAGTTACGCGGAATTGCATAAAATTGCATAAATTCAAATACAGTTTTCTCGTTTTTGAATAGTTTTGTATATTATAATAATGTTTAACAGTGCTGTTAATAATTATTACATGAAATGGGATTGAAAAAGTTTAATCATCTCTTATGATCATTCTGGGTTTTATTATCGAGATTCTATCGATCATATAAATTATGTTTTTTTATTAAAATGACGCACATATATTTGGAGGTAATATGGAGCAGGTGTTACTGGAGCGCGAAACGAAGGACGAACTGACGCGTAACCGATACGTGTAAATGATGACAGTTTATAGTGACACTTTATTCTGGAGATGTTGGAAAATTGCATCGTACGTCACGGTCGAAAGTTGGACGGGTACCGATTGTACGTCGGAACGATTCGGTTACGTCCGCATAGTTTGGATACGCGGCGAATGTGTTCTCTCTCGCGGTACCAAAGTGTCCCATCGATTTAGTTCTTTCGTGAAGAATCCGAGACCCGGGTAGACACAAAAACAGATATTCCGGTGGAGACTGACCCCGCAGGCAGCTAAACTCCAAACGTGCCATTCCGCGAATTCGATTTTCGAACAAATCGAATTCTTGCAATCTTATTCAAATCGGCAGGCCGCTTTTCCGAGTTCAGTTTCCGCGTAAAATAGCCACCGACGGTATCGACTAGCTCGCATTCTCATGCCACTTTACTCTATTTTCACGGTATTAAACGAAATATTAGGTCTACCGGAAAGTTATGTCCGTTTTTTGGAATAAACCAAAATACAAATTTTTCTTACCATCAATAAACTTTATTAAATAATATAATTGCCATTATTATTAATGATTTCTTGCCAACGCGAGGGCAATTTGTATATCCCATTTTTCAAAAATGTTTTATCTTTTCATGCGAAAAATTCAACTAGTGCTTGTTTCATATCTTCTTCATTTTTCAATTTTTTTCCCTTCAAAAAATTTTTTCAACCATCTTCTGCATGTCCTATCAGAAACTGTACCTTCACCAAACACTTTCAATAAAATTTTACATGTTTCTGTAGCATTTGTTCCTTGTTGAAATTCGTATAAAATACAGTGGCGTAAATGAAGCTTATCAGTAGCCATGGGTACACTATGGCTTCACACATAAGACTAACGTGAATCAACTTTGTTTTAGTTAATTTGCTACGTGAGTATGTATAGATTAAGTGTTAAAAATAGAGAGGCACACATGCGCTTAATAAACATGTGCTTAAGTGTCGAAATTTGTTGTGAAAGAAACGGACAGAACTTTTCGGTAGACCTAATATATTATATATTATTGTTTGTCAATGCATTTTATGTATTCCGTCAACAGACGTTTTACATAGACCGTCTTTAGACATTGGCTAGGTTTATCCTGTAACTGCCTCGATCCAAGAGTTCCTTGGAAGGTTTATTATTCAACAGACTGGCTCGAAGTTTGCAAGCAAAGTTGCAATCGTTCTAGGACACAATTTTCTGCTACAAGGGAGTAGTTGGTGCCAAGATTGTCCTCGAAGCTTTTTGAAATTCAGGCTAAAATCCGAAGTGTCTCCCCGTTGGAAACGATGTCAATCTCGGGTATAAATTATTCACCTATGGAGT